CCAGGGGAAAAAAAAAAAAAAAAAAAAAAAAAGAAGAGAGATCCTCTCTCTCCACAGAGCACACTCCAGAGTAACAGAAGAAGTATCTACTATATAGTAACAGTGGGGGACCTGAACATACCTCTCTCAGTACTAGACAGATCATCTAGACAACAAATCTACAGAGACACAGTTAATCTATCAAAAGGAGAGAATAAATCTATGGTTATTAGAGGGGAAGAGGTACTGGATAAGGGGCACAAAGAATAAGTATGATTTATAATAATGAATATGCTAATAAAAAATATTAAAAAATAGAATTGTGATTTTTGAAAAGTCAGTAAATAGTATAACTAAAGATGCTTTCTTTTAGTGGAAATCAGATGAATGTGCTCATGACTCAGGCAGCACAGTCAGTATTGTAACCAAGGCTAGATGGTGGTGGTTTTGACCACTGTAACATTTTAAATTTGTAGTTCTCTTCTGTAATTTACACCCATTATACCAAGACCAAACAGATTTTGACATCTTTGAAATGACACCTCTGTAAAGTCCTGTCATACTCTCCCCATCAGATCCAAAAATTATATGTATCTAATCAAGATGAATCTAGTATTTCAAAATCCAACATTCAAAAGCAGAAATATAGTGATAATTTATCAACTTGGCTTCTGACTTATTGAGAATCAAGACCATCTACATCCCAAATAAATTACTTGCAGAAAACTGCTTACAAACAACATATGCAGACCTTTCTTATTTGTCTTTTACAAACATAAAAATTATAAAATTTAATTAGCTTACTTCAAATGCAAAGTGCAAGAATCCCAAACTCTGAGCCACTGAAAGTAGTTGTTGTGGCCTATTTCTGACACTGTAACATCGTTAAACAGCAAACTACATTTTAATATGGATTCGGTTTCAAAACTAAACATGTCACTTAAAAATACACTTGTTGATAAATTATACTTTTCCTTAAATGAAAGTAAATTAAAATAAAGGTCACATGGGAAAAAAGCAAAACCTTGTTTATATACGTTATAAGATATTAAAGCTGAACTCGCTAATGCAATCTTTAATGATAAATTGACACGTAATATGAAAGAGGATTAGAGAGTCAGAAATAAATGGTAAACATCGCACTGTGCACTGATAGCTACCACAGAAACACTGATAGCTACCATGGAAACAAAGGAAGGGATACCTCTTCAGGCCAAGAGAAAGAGTAGGGTACTTATTTTAGGTAAAGAATACAGCAGGGACAAACGTAGGGAGACATGAAATGGCACGATGGTAAGGGAGCGCATCCTTCAATATTGCTGGAATGTGAGGGTAAAGTGTGGCACAGGGCATGGTGGGAAATGTGGCCAAATACTTAGCTAAAGCCAGGTCACGAAGGGTCTCATGCACCAGGCAGTGGGGCTCAGTCAGACTTGATCCTAGTAGGTTGGAGGTTTCTCAATCTGGTCAGGCATCGAAATCTCTCACGGAACTTAAAAACACAGGCTCTAGCCCAGCAGCTCTACAGAATCAGAATCTGTGGGGGTGGGGCCAGCGCCCGATAAATAGAGACAGATTTAGAGGTACCCCACCCCTAGGATTCTGATCAGTGGTTTGAGAACATCTGCTGAAAGTGATAAGAGATTTTTAAGCAGAGCAGTGACAAGGTCAGATGCCCATTTTTGCTATACTATCCTGCTGGCCTTGGAAAGGTGATCCAAAGGGATCAACATTTGTGAGTCTACTGCAATACTGCAGGTGACATACGATGAGGCCTTGAATCAGGACACAGGCAGTACGGATGAGGAAGAGGGCTAGACTTGAGGCTTATCTAGGGACTAAAATGAGCAGGGCTTGGAGCCCAACTGAAAACTGAACGTGAC